AAACCATTTGTTACCTAATGAAGTGTCTCAGCGTGTTCATATAAGTTAATGGTTTCATATGGCCAGATCATTGCTGCACCAGCTATTAGCTACTAATAACATGCTCCCATCTTGCTTTAATGACATACTGTATTCAGAACACTCAAGTATGGACAGATGTTTGGGAATATCATTTTTTCCTCCTGGCTGTTGATTAATTCCCAACACCCACTCCTGATTAGAATGCAAGATGTTTTCTTTTAGACTTGGGAGTCTTTAATTACCCAATCTAATCAGAAAAAGACAAACAACATACCAGGAATGTGGAATGAAATGCTGGAGCATCTTGTTGGACTTTGTACCATTGACTGTGGGCACGGATGTTCAAGGCTTATCTTCCAGAGCCAATTCATTAGTAAACATGCAGCTCAGACAAAGGGAATGTGACGAGCACTATACAAGGTTTTCGTAAAAATAGAATTGGTGGTTTCAGTAGGGGATTTTGGAGGGGAGACCCCTGACCTCATTAAGGGATGGAGTGGATACTCTAAACTAGCCACACTCTCTCTGTAAAACGCATGATGGGCTTCACTTTTAAAAGAATGACATGTCTGATGCCACTGGTAGCACTTTTTAAAAGTGGAATTGAGGAAATAATTGAGCTGAGTTTCTCAAATGATGAAAATGATACGTCAACACCTGGGTTTTAACAAAGCTTTATTCTTATCTCCTAAAAATCTGGACCCTTAGTGAACAATAGGAAAATTGTTTTTTGTTTATCGTCTTGGTATGAACATAGTCTGTGTGTGTTTACTTAGTACTAAGAACTCTTTCAGAAGCTTGAGTTCTTTTTTGTCTCCATAAAGTGGATCCTCCAGCTACCTGACTTCTCTTAATTACACAACCTGAACATGCCTATTGCACAGGTAACTAATTACTATCTTGCTCCCCCTAGTGGAACTGTAACTCTACTTCAAAGTTTGAAAATACTGTATCAGTACATATTTAATTTAGCATCTTATTTTTGGAAATTGGGTCTTTTTCCAGTTTGTTTTCAAAGACTGAGTATAAAAGATAAAAATACTTCATTGGATGGTCTGATAGGGGAAATGGGTAGGGAAAGTGGCTTTTTGCTGATTAATTTTCAGTTCCTAGTGTTTGCAAGGTTAGCTACATAATGACAATGGCTGCCAACTTCAAGGGCCCTCTCTGCTCTTCATTTCTGACTTAGAGGGGCAAATGGCATCAGCCTGGCAGACAGTCACGTCTAGAAGGCAGCTGTCAACACTCCTGGCAAAGAGGGTGGGGTGTTGATAGCTGGTGATGTTGAAAGACAGGGACAGGTCCCATCTGCTTGTTGAATCCCTCTTGTGCCATTGGTAAGTGGGCCTAGGAAGTACCCTTTCTCCTTCTGAATCTGTGTGAGGGACTGCGCCACGGTACAGTGCATGGCAGTCACTTCCAGTTTATAGCTCAGAAGCATGCTAGGAAAATTCTTGTAACTGAAGCTAAGATTACTGCATACCTCCCTTTGGCTTTAAGAATTTAAATTTCTTTAGGGAATGATAACCATGGTTTCCTGGCATCAGAATCTTTTCTTCCTGCCACTGTTTGTTTTTCACAACTTTGACCCTCGTTATGCATTTGTGTTTATTCAACTTTGTGTCCTATAGCACACAAGGCCCTCCTATTTTGCCTATGTTAGTGTTGAAGTGCATGAAACTTCAAAAACAAGTATCCATACATGCCAAGGCTTAAGGCTGTGCTCTTTTGCAGGTAAGACTTTGCTTCTAAGCCTTATCAAGGTGGAGGCAAAAAATGAAAAAGATATAGTGGTGACCAAATTAATGGTCAACAGAGTATATGTACTTAACACTATAAGCAAGAATACTATAAGTAGAATATTCCACTTTTTAAAAAAACTGTATAATAGAGAGGGTATTTAGATATATTTTTTCTAAATATTTATTCTCAGGGTAAGTGTTTACCTAAGGAAAAATAAAACATCAGGTTCAGATTAAAACCCCAAGAAAAAGGAATGCCAAAGTGCTGTCTGCGATGTTTTATTTGGGAGCATGGGGGAAAAGAAACACCCATAATGCTTTAAAAAGGTACTATTTACTGAAGAATCATGGTAATTTTGTTCAAGAATACATCCACGCCAACACACAGGCTTTTGCTAAGCAGAGCGAGTATCTGTGAGGTTCTGGTTTGGAATCCCATGATGCTTGGATTCACAGTTGTGAGGCAGTGTCACAGCGGCCACGCGGACCAGCTGCAGCTACACTGTCCACATAGCGAGGCTGCGGTCTTTGGAGAGCAAGCACTTTTCTGTTCCACAGGGAGTGTGAGGGATTTGTGTGTGAACTGGTGTGCATCTCTGTATATACATGCCCAAGTGTAGATACAGGTGTGTATGTACATGTGTAAACATGGGCGTGCACACGTGCATATACCTATGTACATAAGTGATGGCAGCATTGGGAAAGTCACAATAGCTCAGCTTCCTCCTCCCAATGGATGCTGGGAATTCTCTGCCCTGATGATAGGATGCCCTTCAGAACAGTCTCAGGGACAGGGCCTAGAGCTATTTGGGAAGCTCTGTGCACCGCTGCTGGCTGGAGGACTGCGCTGGCATCCGGGTCCAGCAGCTTTGTCCAGGAGGCTCTCCTTGGGAACATTCCAACCACAGCTTGGAACCTCTGTTTCACTTGAGAAGTGTGAGGACTGAATGCAACAGAATTCCCTACATTCAGGAAGGATGAGAGGCTTTGCTTACTTAGCTGTGTGTCCTTAAAATGACTGACCAGTGGGACACTACTGGGATGGATTTGTTCCTCAGAATCTTAGCTTCTCAACTGATTGATTGATCACTGTTGTATTAACACTAAAATTTTGCTGGACTCTCCTCTACTTGTCATCCTGTGGTTCTTGGGGTTTGTTATTTGTTTTCTCTTAAGGTTCAAAAAGGCAGAAAATTGCACACAAGCATTTGGCCATAGACACCACAGATAGGGAATTAGAACACAGATAAAGAGTCAATATTTTTGTTGAAATCCTGAGTTTGTGTTTTATATGAAATGTGATTCTTGCCAGGGGACATATAAGCCAGAGACTTGGTTAGTAGGTAGGCAGCAAGCATGTGGAAAGGGCTCCTTGCTTTTAGGCAGGGCAACCAGTTGACACCGAACTAGTAGAAAACCTGCTTCTTTTCAAGACTTCTTTCTTGCTACTTAACTGTTGGCAATTTGAGAAACTATCTTTGACTCATATACTGTGGCAAGAAGGTAGATTTGAGAGAGTATTTTAGACACAAAAGAGATACACCTGTCTACTTGCCTGAAACTTTTATGGCAAGGGGAAAGCCATGGACAAACTCCTGGTATATTAATATTAAAATATTTAACTGCAGTTTAACATTTTTTATATATTGTTTCCTCAGGGAATCTTGCTATAGCCTACTGACAATACTTATCTTGGTCACCCCCCAAAAAACAAGAAACACCATGAGAACCTGTACGAAAGGCAATAGGAGAGTAAGAAAGACAAAACGATATGTAGAGGGAAGACCAGGACTCGGATTCTCACAAAGACAACACTGGCAAAGGTCAAGGCAGATGACGAGGATGACTGCACCGCGGTCAGTGGCTGTCAGTACATAGGAGTTAAGTGGGCATTTGTTAAAAATAGACTCACAGGCCTCCGCCCCAGATATACTAAATCAATCTCCAGGGAAGGGATCTAGGAATATTTTAATAAGCATCTCAGGTGATTCTCACGGTCAGGCAGGTTTGGGAGGCTGCTGTCTTACTACTGTCTACGAAGACTGCTGTAAAGTATTGCCAAAAGTGTGAGAGTGACTGTGTATGAGTGTAGTTGCCAGGCTTTTTAAAGTTTGAAAAAAATTATCAAATAATCCATATTGACGTTGAACATTTCTAATAAAAACAGCTGTGATTTGTGTAGGGCTGTGTGGTTACAGAGGGTTTTCCCATGTGTTATCTCATTTGCTCCTCTAACAATCCTGTGGGGGTTTGGGCCACAGATCATACTCCCCCCAGAGTACACATGGGAAATGGGCTCAGCGGGTAGCTGATAAGTAGCAGGAGCTGGCTTTAGGCAGGACCCTTCGCCATGTGCGGCAAGCCCAGCATCAACCCAGAGCCCACTGCTTTTCTTCTTTTACCTCATTGCTGCTCACCAGGTTGATGGCATTTCTAACATGCCGGGCTCTTTGTTTTGCATAGCCACACCTTTGTGCACCCTGATCCTTCTGCCTGGAATGCTCTTCCTTCCCAGCCTGCAGACTCACACTCATTCATTAAGGTGCCATCCATGAAACTTACCTGGATTCACTCTCTTCACCCTAACTACCATGCAGGCAAAGCTGTGTTTCTGTCCCGCTTTATATATCCTTCTATGGTATGTTGGGCTTTGTTCAATGTAGGGAAATTCAATAATGAGCACTCCTCCGTGCCCCCTGCTTCTGCTCCCCACTCGGCCATTGTGCCACTTACTTAGAATAGGCAGTGGGACGTAATCTCATCTGAAATGTTCAATGCTTGTTGGTTACGGGAGTGATTTCAAGGGCTTTCCAAACATTGACAACGAAGTGTTCAAGAGGCCAGAAACATGGCTGTGAACATACTCTAGTGATGCAGTTGTCTGAGGTTACCAGAGAATAGTGTCTAATGAGAGGTGGGGGAACAGTAGCGACTGTATGCACAAAACCACAGATTTGGAGGTTTGATGGGGGAGTTTAAGGGCTTTTCAAGGCCATCCTCAACTATGGTGATTTTCATGTTATACTCTAGTCCCAGGTTAGATGTGACTGTCATGGCTTTCTAATTGGATTATAGTTATTTATGCAGGTATCTTCCCCACTAGACTTCTAGTGAGGGTGCGCCTGCCAATTGATAATTGTTGAATAAACTGTTGCGGAATAAATCTAGCCACTTGCATCTGAATGCAGCTAAGTGTATTCGATTACAGTTCTAATTCACATTCTCCTGTGTTTACAGCCACCACTGGTCCAAGCAATCTTCAGCGGTGATCCAGAGGAGATACGCATGCTCATCCACAAGACTGAAGATGTGAATGCTCTGGTAGGAGATGCGTGGTTTTGCCTGCTGAGGCCCTCTCAGTCATTTCTGTGTCATGCACCTCTGGCATCTGGTGAAGGCTCCGAACTCTTCTCAGAATGTTTGTTTTTAAATCTATGAAATAAAATAGATAGGGTTCAAACAGAGATCAGTTATATTGACATACAGTTACCAAAATACTAAAAATCAAATTTGTGATGTCATAACATATGTGCTTCTTTATCAGCATATTTAAATAGCAAGACACAGCAGGTCTAATACTGATCATAATTTAAAAATAGTGATGAGCATGATCAATATTTTTTATCTGTGAGCACTCTAATGTAGTATGAACATACCTGTGATTTCTGCTGATGACTACATCATAGTTACTACAGAGACTGCCTACATTCAGAATGGACAGAAATGTGAGACTTCCACTGGAAGTTAGTGGAAATAAAGTTGTAATAGTTTTACATCTAGAACTCATGCCCAACAATAGGGGTTGACAAACTGGTCCATCACCTGCTTTTGTTACAGGCCACTGGCTAAGAATGGTTTTTATTTTTTAAATGGTGAGAAAAATGAAAAGAAGTAAAACATTTTGTGACACATGAAAATCATATGAAACTCAAATTTTGATGTCTATGTAAATAAGGTTTTTTTTAGAACACAGCCATGGTTGCTTCACACTGCAGCAGAGTTGAGTAGTTGTGACAGAGACCCAACTCTGCATGGCCCCAAACCCTCCCAAAATATTTACTATCTGACCCTTAGGAGGAAAAATTTGCTGACCCCTGCTCCATAGGGTTCATTAACCTGGGATCAATGGATGAAGTAGGCACCCTGTGTGCACTCTGAAATCCTATGTAATACATGTGTGTACTTGTGGATTATATATTATATCTTGAATATAAGGCTCAAGACATTTCATTAAATTCTTAAAAGGGTCTATGACCCCCTGAAGATTAAGAACCACTGGATCTGGATGTTCTTGAAACAAACAAACCTACAATGAAGAAAGGTGAAAAGAGTTAGTCAATAATTTACCCTTTTAATAGTTTACTAGACCTAGATGGAACAAGCAATTATATGCAGTACATGCTACTAATTCTCTTAATGTAGCTCAATTACCTAAGCACTCCAGTCCATCAGTGAGAGGGGTTGTCTTTGAAGTCTCTAGTGTCAGGTGGGAAGAAGACAGCGTCAAACACACCTGCAAAATAAGAAGAGCTTTGCCACGGGAGATGCGTTACCTCAAGGTTGTATGTCTGCGTGGTTGGCCTGATGCTTTATGGAGCAGGGATCCGGTGTGGCTTCGGTTCCATGGCGGTGTGGGTTGGGGCGGCAGGTTGGCAGTGCAGCCTCTTGGAAAAGCTTTGGGCAGCTTCTCCCTAGCTGGCACTGAAAACAACGGGGCAATGTTTTATGACATTTTGCAAGGTAAGAATAGATGAGTCCAGGGCCAGACTGCTCGAGATGACATGGCATTTGGGCCTTTGTCCAGGGCCTGCAGGGCATGCCCTGAACTTCTGAGAGGAGGTGAGGCCAGCAAGCCGACTGTCCAGAGTTCTGACATCTACACTGTGAATGTGGCCCAAGCCCAGGCAAGCCCCAGGCAACATTACTATCTTTTCCCAATGTTCATGAGCAAAAAAACTTCAGTTCAGTCATACACTGAGAAAGATTGTACTGTCCTCTGAATGGCCGTTATTTCTCCTTAGAAAGGTGACCAATGGTTGCCGGCTGGTAAAGGGTAGGAGAGCTTAATTTTAGCTGTGACCTGTGTTACCGAATTAGATAGATAGGTTAACTCCTGTAGCATAGACTCCTAAATGTAAGGTGGCTCAAATGTTAGAGTTCACTTCTCTTATGAACAGATTAGAGGGGTGGCTGTTTTCTACGTAGGGTGCCAGGTGTCAACATGGAGCTTCTAAGTTCCCCTGAGGGGTTTGTCTCCAGGCCAGCTGGGGAAAAGAGCGTGGAGGCAAAGCACGGGAGGATTTTTATAAGTCATTTGGAAGCCCCACGGTCACTGCCACTCACATCCCACTACCAGAACTTGGCAACGCCACACCCAACTCTAAGGGAGGTAGGGAAATCAGTGTAGCTGTGTCCCCAAAGAGTCAGAGAGCATGGGCTGCAATGAACAGTTAGCAATCTTGGCCACACCCATTTTTTATCTCACAGAATTCTAGGACTTCAGGTGATAACACTGACTTGTCTACAGTGTCTTGTTCATTCAGTAGCTTTTTCCTGAGTTCAGACCCTGTGCTAGGTGCTAGGGATACACACAGCAGCAAGAAGACAGCCTTTTCCCTCATGGAGTTTACAACATGGCAGAGAAATCAACAGCAGCAGAAAAGAGAAATTATACCGCCTGGTACTTCTGAAAGGGAAAATCCAGACACTGTGGTGGGGCCTGGATTCATGATGAGGGATGAAGAGGGGTGTGTGCGCTGAGCCGATGAGCACTGCTGCGGGGTAGCCTTTGTGCGGCAGCAGCGGGGGTGGGGTCACGGGGTGCACAGTCTCTCCTTCCCTGTACCTTAGGCTCCCTCTTCACATCCCCTTTCCCTTCCCACAGGTGAGTAGAAAAGATTGGTTGGTTCCCAGGTACATTAGAGACACTAAACTGCCCTTTTAACGTCATGCTTTTCTTTTGCCAACACTCCTCAAGGTCAGTGGCATTGCCCGTTTTGCTGGGAATGGATCAGGAAGTTTAGGGGACGTGGTTGTTAACAGAGGGCATGGGAGATGGAAGATAAATAAGCATTTGAAATCTACACCTGGAGATTCATTACGGGAGGGAGGAGGGGCTGCGAACACGTACATTGAACTGTCAAGGAAGGGGAATAAATAGGAGGAGCTCCTGTCGGTGGGAAGACAATATTCATGTTCTGCCCTCACCCTTTGCTTTTCTCTCTTTTTACCCCTATTTATTCACTTACTTTTTTCTTTGCCGTCCTATGCTCTGATTCTTTGCCTTCTTTTTTCTTGCCTGCCTTTCTGTATCTTTTGACGGGTGACCTGTTCTTTTGGCTTTATATACCCTTTGATTAGCTGATCCTGATGCAAACAATCTCATTCCACTTGGCCTCTCTGTGTTCTTCCAAACTTTGTTTCCCACCAGTAGTAATCATGAACTGTGCATCAGCTGAACCAAATTATTCAACCCATGGGTATTTATGCTTTACTTACTTCTCGACTGTGCTAATTCCATCTGCCCTTCCAGACCTACTTCTTCCTCCATTAAATCGTCTAATTCTCACCCCCTTTCTGCTGCCTTCTCTGCCACCTCCTGACCCAAATGAAGAAACCTACCTCCTCTCTCAGCTTCCATAGCTCTTTGCACCTTTACTTGGGTTATTTACATCTGTGTTTTACTCTTGAGAGACTACATGCTTGATGACATGGTTGCAATCTCATTCATTGTCATTTGCTCAATCTCCCAGTCCAGTCCTTGCAAAACATGTTGAGTGGATGACTAAGCCCCACTTTATGAGTTATGTTGAGCCAATTTGTGGTGGCCTATTTTTCATTTCTGCCAATGAGGACATATTTGTGAATAGTGTCTGGCTTAGTTAGTGTCCCTCTGGTCTCAGTTACAAGATTGAAAGTTCTCTTCTTAAAACTAAAGACCTGCAGATGGTTTTGAGGAGCCACTGAGGATCAGGAAGGCTACTCTTGAATCTTTTTGTGGTTTCTCTGGTTAGTGGCATACCAAGGCCTGGAGTGTGGGAAGACAGTTGTACACACTGAGAAATCCATTTAAACTGACCCAGATGTGGCTGGTAACTAGAAAGATTGGGAGGGCTTCACCAGACTAACCAAACTGAGCTCAAGGTGGAGCATCTGAATTCAAAAGGAATGTAGAGGTCCTGGAAACCAAAATTTGAAACGTGAGAGGCATTTGGGGGATTGTGCTATGACAACATGATACAAACACACAGTTTTGTTATGCCTCACTGGAGCAGGGACAGAGACAAACTGTTACCTATGACTGGCAAGTGGTGCAGATGGGAGGAACTATGCCTTGTGAGGAAGGACTGAAGAAAGTGGTGATGTTTTAGCCTCAAGAAGGTCAGGAAAATGGTCCTGAATAGTTCAGACACTGTCAAGTTAAAATGGAACTAGACTTATCATATGTCATGTGGTTGTAAGTGACAGAAAATAAGATTTCAGCTCAAAATATAAGAAGTGACTTAATAGACAGAGCTGTCTAAAGAAGTAAGGACTGACCTGACAAGAAACAAGTCCCTGGAAGACCACGACACTGGAGGTTCTGAAGGAGACTGATGGTAGCACAGATGGCCCCACTCTCCTGTCTTGTGCCCATGGCCATCAGTAGTGGTTTATGCCTTTTTCCCCCCACTTCTTTGAATCTTAAAGACAAAAATTTCTTTCAGGACAGCACTATTAAATTGGAGTTGGCCTGTAAATTGAAACTCCCTTCCCATGCCTGGACTATGTGGTGTTTAAAGTCTCTTAAAACTGTTAAAGATTGCCGTCTAAGATTTCTAAGTCCCACCTGTTAGCAAACCCACAGTGGTCATTTCTTTTCCAAAGTATCACTAACAGATAGGGACACACGCAGACCTGTTATCACACCAAACAAAATGAGCAGTGACTCCTCAGGACCATCTCATACCCCGGGCACATTCAATTTTATTTTATTCTATTCTAACAATTTCAAAAATGTCTTTTTACAGTTGGGTTTTCCCCAAGTAGATTATTGTAATCCATCTATTTTATACAACAAAATGATTTTGTCAAGCTGTTAGTGTTTATTGTTTTTCCTAATAGGATTTGGTCCAAGTATATTGGTGCATTTTGCTTACTCTCTCCAGTTACAAGATGGGAAGGGATGATATATGAATATAATAAAAGTATATCTTGAGGTGGAAGCCAAGTGTATGTTGGCAAAGAACTGATAGTGAAAAAGGGGGATAAAATCATTAAAGCTGCAGTTCTTGACGACGAGCATTAATTCAGGTGATGGTGGCCTGCTCCTCTCAAGAGCC